ACAAAACATAAGAGAGCAGTCCTACTCAGGTCTATTTAGTAGGGCTTACTGACAGGAATCTGTTCTTAGGATTGCACTGTAAAAGCACTATAGGGGGAAATTAATGAATAAAAATATTGTAATGGCATTATAAAGAATGAACTGGAAAAATATATGATAACTTGAAGGTGTCTTAACATCCACTGACCACAGTGCACTTATGAGCATTAAATCTGGGTGAAATCTATGGTCGCAATGCTACAGAGTGAGGCAATTTCAATAGGCTTGCACATGCCTGTCTCTGCATGAGAGAACAGGCTTCAATAAACCAAACCTATTGTACATCATAAAAAAAACAACTTTTCATGGAATCCAAATAATAGGTTCACTCTTCCAGTTTGGGAAAATTTTATAACACTAATAATTGTGAATAGAAAATACCAAAAGCCAAAATGTAATACAGTTTAATGAGCTTTTATAACAAAGCCCATGATTTACAAATCAGTTTGTCGCGATATTAGTTTAAAAAAACCCCCACCTTTATTCTTTTCTGTGGACCTAAACAGAGAGAAATGCTGATTTATCTAAAGGTCATATCTGTTAAAAATGGCAATGTAATGTCAAGGGTTTATTGTACTTTCAAACGTGCCCAGCTTTAGATATCCTATGGCAATGAAGTCCCCATATTACTCATATGGGTTGTGGATATCTAGCTATAGCTCACAGTCGACTTGACCAGCTCAAAGTTGACTTGACCACCTTTGTGCATGTTTAAGAAATGCGTACATTCGCCTTTCACATCACAAGCAACAATTGAAATCTCCTGAATGTCAAAGGCAGTTTCCAACAAGGCAAGAGCTGTTGTTCTGAAAGATAGCCCTTTGGCACTCGCTACCTCTCTGTAACATGATTAGTGTCTTCTTGAAATGTGCTATTTGATACTTTTGAGAATAACTTAAAAGTTTTCCTACCAAATAAACGTTTTTCTATCAAAAAGATACCTATGATGGCCCCCTCCCTCAGAGGAGACATTTTTCTTCAGTATCTCTTTCCAAAAAAAATTTCCCTTTACTGACAGCTGCCCTAGTAATGTGTTTTCTTCTTTCCTGAAGACCCCTGGCTGTCCCACCCTGTCACAGTACGATATTTTGGCTGCTGGCTCAGTCCAGGAACCTGAGGGAAGGATCAGGAGCTTGCTTTAACTTAAACAATTTAAATGGCACTCAAGGCATTTTGAAATTCAAAAATAACAAAATATTTTATTTAACATAGAGGGGAAAGGTCAGGTGAAATAAAGGGTTGAAATTTCTGAGGTAAAACCAGTACGTGCACAGACTTTAGTTCTTACGTTTCAGGCTATTGATAGTTTCTTAAGCTTTTCACAGTGACTTAAATCTTTATGTTGAGAGGCTTTTTTCCAGTGTTTTCCCAAACACTCCAGCACACTTTCTTTGATTATTTTATGACTCTTTTGATTTCTAGAAGGCTGGTACTCTTTCCAGTACCCAGACCCCTTCTCTTGAAACACCAGTACTTGTGTTGAGTTTTTAACTGACCCTTAAGGTTTCTACAGGCAGTGTCTAACCACACCAGACCAGGGATCTCTGTACTCTTCGGCGCTAACTCCCTGTTTGGGTATGGAATTTCTTCTCTCTCTAGAAGATCTATCCCCTTTCCTTGGCCCAAATGGGAGTCTTCTCCTAGTTCCCAAACTTCCTTGCCAACTTTCCCTCACTTCTCCTGTCTGTGTTAAACTGCTCTCAGTTAAAACTGAATTCCGAAATTGTCAGTACTCAACTCTTCTCAGCTGGGGCTGAAATCAAACTGAATTCAGTCAAGGCAGAAATCTGACTAACTCTTTCCTCAGCATGCAGCTCTCTCAATACTTTCTCTGCTCAACTGATGTTAGCCAATCAGATTGCTTGGAGGAGCCTGTCACTCAAGGCCCTCTGTTTCTGTGAAGAATTAACCCTTCACAGTCCTTCAGCTGTTTTTACAGCACTTCTAAGCTTCTTAAATGCAGTCCGTCACAATACCATATGCTTATATTGAATTTAAGTTTAAAAAATAATCATTGCATTATAAATTGATGCCAGCACTGGAGTAATTTAGCCAGAAATCACACGGTTTAATGAAAATTGCAACATAATAGACTGGTAAAACATTAGGAACTGAATGACTTTTTTGGGGGGGGATAATGACGAACTTCAAAGGTTGAGTGGATTTTCTAGTTTTAATAGCTGACTTAAAATGCTTATAAAATAGGAGTAGATTATAAAAGAAGAGAATGATATTTTGGGTATTTGAGCAAATTGTCTGATTTTTAAAATGAAATTTCATGTTTTCTGTTTGTAGCAGAATCTATTAAATGGAGAAACTAGATATCTGGCTGCCATCATGCTTTAACATTCTAAATTAATATAAATGTCTCCTTTTGCACCTTGGATGTTCCATAATATGCTGATCCTAAACACCTTTATCGGTAGGTAACTCACCATAGGCGTCTGTGGAAATAAGTGTAAATACACACAGGAGATGGATGCAACAACCATATTGTAGCAGGAAACTTCTTCAGAGATGGATTTCACAGTACAGTTAAAGAGTCTCCTAGAACTGCTACTATAAATTGTATAGTGAATATTTTTTAATTATTTTAAAACAAGCACCTTATTTATAGAAGTGTTGTGACAAAGGGTTTTTATGGAAATAAAACCAACAAATCTCTGTTGAACTTCTTTTGGTATAAGAAAAATAGGCTTGATTAAACACGAATATCACATCTGAAAATTTCCTTTGCATATTTGTTTTACATTTAATAATATGCATATATTTCATAATCCCACTATAGCAAGGCCTCTTTGCATTGGACTAAAGTTAAAACTAATCATACCCCATTAGTTCAGCACCCTATTTTCATAACTTTCTATGTAATGGTCCCATTGAAGCTTTTTTAATATATAAAATCTAAACATTTATGTTAAGCAAAATAGAAACTAACTAGAAATTTATATACAAGATGAATTGCTTCACAGCACTCATTCTTGCCTGGCTTAAAATAAACAGGATTTTAAACTTGTCTGGATATTTACATATTCTTAATGAAAACAAGAGTAGATAATGTAATGACTAAGGTGGCAAACCTGGAGAAAGTAACACACAACTGTGAACTCTGCAGGTGGTTTTGGGGTAAATCAGATCAGACGTCATCCTTAATCCCCAAACTGTAAAAATGGGGAGATATGGGCCTAATTTACAGGACTGTTACTGAGATGAGGCTGGGAAATTAGTCTGCACATGACAAATGCAATTGCATATCTGGTTGTGGTAATGATACAAGGTCTTGATTTTGTGATGTTGCAGTAGTACAGTTTACCAGCACACCCCCTTCTAAACAAATGCTGGCACAACCCACACTCTAATTAGACTACAGGAATGCTTTACTACTCTTTACATAATTATAAAATAGCCAGGTACCAACATTCGATCTTTGTCACATGACTAAGGCTTCTTTCACCCACTCTCTCTCACACCAAGATGCATGGAGGTGACTTCCTGAAGTACTAATCTGTGCAGCTGCCGCATGTGCAGATACCATGACTGCAAGGCCAGGACTAACTGGTGGGTTTCTACTGTGATACTCTGCTCAGGAAAAGTGCTGCGGGGGGCGGGGGAGATCAGCTCTACTTCCTCAGTTCTGGTATTTACTCAGGTACCACAGCACCTGGTATTTACTCAGGAAAGGCGCTCCCCTGCAGTTGTGCATGTGTGTGGACAGGTTCCAAGAAATTGAAGTATGGGTTTAGTTGCCAATTTATGGAGTAAGGCAAATGGGCTGCAATTTGACAGCACTTTGGTGGGGGACTCCTGCTTCTATCAAGAAACGGGGCAGCAGGACACGGTGCTATTCAAGTGCCCATATTTACTGTATTTCACATGAACCGACAGCTTTTATTCACGGTTGTAGCAGAAAATGCTGCAGTTGTGGGCACTGTCATGATAATGGAAAACATGCTCATGACACCAGGGACAGGCGGTAACTTTGTTAAATAAAGACCTAGAAAGGCAGAGGGGAGGTAGTGCCTCTGTACACTTCATTAGATGGTTTGTAATAATAAAGCATCAAATTATATACCAGGTGAAAATAGCAAGCTGTGTTAACTAGCATCGCTGAGGTCAGTATATGGTGTTTTTAAATCTAAATTGGATCTTTTACTGAGTTTAACAGTCTCCCACTTTCCTCTCTCTCGGCTTCCTGTTACGATAAACAGAGGCTCAGAGGACTGTGTGCACGGTGAGCTCTTGCTTTGTGCAGGCTGCTCATCCATTTCCAATCTGTCTGTGTACACGAATTTGCACATGCATTTTGCTTCTTCTATTGAACTGAATGAGACAGCCTCATGGGGTGGCAGAGCTCTTCATGCACACTGGAGTAGATGTCTAAGAAATCAGGGGTGGCAGAACAAAACTGAGAATTAGATAGAACTGTACTAGAGTAATATGAAAACCTGGACATGCACCCACAAACAATGAGGTTGCAGCTAAAAGCCTGGAGTAGGAAATTTTCTATTTCTAGGTAAGGGGAATGGATGTACAAATAATTCCTTCAGTGGGATTAAGCAGAATTCAGTTACATCTTCCTTTTATTGTAAAATGATTCCTCACCACATACTATGAGTTGGCTCCACACGCATCATTGTTAGCAGGTAAGTCACAAAGACCAAAGCTGATGGATGAATAAAAGCAGCAAGATCATAGCACACCAAAGTATCATATACGCTTGAGAAATAATTCAGTGCTTAAAGGTTTTTTTTCCTTATAAAAGTTGTGATCTATATAGGACTTCATTCACATGGACACTAACAACAAGGAGTATTTTGCTTTGGCGATAGTGGGTCACACATCTGCTTAACTTGCTCTATTTTTTAAAACACTTTCTCTGGGTTGCACAGATGTGAGTCAGGTAGCATTTTGCCCCATTAATGAGGTGTCTACAGCCAGTATCCTCTGGGATTCTTGTTCTGTTGACTTTTGCCACGTGAATCCATCACTTATGCTCAGAAGAATGTGATTTTAGTTTTTGATTCCTGAAATCAGTCAGCATAAATTATAAATCCAGAAAACGTGCTGTATTTGTTGTTGTTTCCTCCATGTGCTTTTCCTCCATCTAATTTTATGTAGACCTCATCTCCCGGTTCCAGGTGTAGAACGACGCTGTTACTGGCATAATCGTAGTTTTGATCCGCATCTTGAGCAATTGCGCTTGCTCGGACCTAAGGGAAACAGACATCCAAAGAATATTATGGTTTATCACTTCAACATACACCAGTACTTTGGCATGGAACTGGCATGCTGGCACCTTCAGATGCTCTTTGGGGCATAATTTTTGGTGGATATTTTCTTCAGCAATATAATTAGTTGCTGTAGATTTTCCGGGTTATTGATATATCACAGTAGACTACGACTGCAATCCTAAGGACACTTTCCTAGGAGTAAGCCAACTGAGTAATGTGTGACTTACTTCTAAGTAGACCTGCTTTGTATTACTTCCTCTACCATAGCAAAACATTTAAACTCAAGCCTGTCATCATTAGGCTGGATGTATAACCCCACCACCACTACATCTTCCTAATCCCCCAATTTTCATTTTGCCCTTCTAAGAAGCTTAGGGTGGCCTATATGGTGGTTCATTTATCTTCACGTTAGGTTGAGAGACTAATTTATCTTCACGTTAGGTTGAGGACCTTATTTATCTGACAGTATTTATCTCATACATTGTTCCTTCATAGAACTCAAAAGAGGCTTCCCTGGATGTCTACTATCCAGGGACTACCAGATCGAGGCCTGCTTGGTTTCAGCAAAACTGCTATATCATGTGCCACATATCCTGGGGCCTTTTAAGGATGAATGTGAACTCAAACTAGCACACACTCCTCAAAGTGCATCATTTTAGCTACCATACCTCATTGGTGTCCTAGCTTTAAACCAAGGTGGCAAAAAGAACTAGGAAACTAGTTCCATTGGCCCAAAGGGTCTTTAAATTGTTATTTCTTTATCTGTATCCCTGACTTTCAAAAGCAGTTTGTAATAAGACATGGATGAAAGTAATTCAAGAAGCCAAAGATATTCAGCTATCAGAAGCCCACTTTCTTAGCCTAAACAGTACTTTGGGACCCAGCCACTATTCAGAAGGAAATTTATACAAGTAGACGAACCTAACATTGTACTTGACTCCTATTGCTTAGGGTAAAAATCAGGCCTCTTACAATACAAAGCATGTAAGATTGTGCAGAGAAAGAATGAGCATGTAGAACTATTCCTTGATGCCTTTGTCATTGAGTCAATCAATTTTGCATCCTCACTGGTGTAATTTTAATAAATAAGGAAGCAACACAGCTCCCCGAAACAACTCTCTTTACACTTAATTTGCTTGGCTTAATAAAAACCATTCATTAAATATATGTCTATTTTCTCATATTTAGACAATCTTGAGTCCTTTATCATGCATCACGCTTAAAAGTTAAAGGTTTTGTTTGCATTTTAAATAATACTTTCTTGATATGATTGCCATATTAATAAAAGTTTGTAACTGTAGAAGCCTGCCAACCCAGAAATACATAAAGTCCAGTTCAATAGAATGTGATTTTAGTTATTTATTCACAATTCCTTTCCACTAGTAAAATCCATTACCTTTTTATTTGTGTACGATTTATGTTAGTGCAACAACATGTCATCTGCTTTGTCGCCTGTCTCTATTCCGTCACTCTTCAACAGAGCTGTTACTGATTTAGTGGTTTTGCTAACCTGAACTAAGAAATAATGCATGACTTGGCATGCAATATGCTGGATTCTTTTTTTAAATCTTTTTGAAACTGAAACAAAAGTACAGTAAGTCAAAAGATTTCCATGCCTGCCTTTCAAAAACATAAGTGATGGGTTTTCAGATTAAAATTTCATGTGGTATGATCCCACATTAATACAGAATGAAATGTTAACAATAGATAAGGCTATTCACCATGCTAGTGCTCATAGGGTATTATAAAGCTTAGAAATCACAGAAGCAGGAAAAACCCTGCTCTTCTGCATCATATAGGAAGGTTCAGAAAGGCTTAAAAGATTTGTAATTGCTTAACACATGTTCTAATTTAAGCTGACATGCTGTATAGTAATATCCAAGGCGGTCCTCTTTAGAGTCATGACTTCAGAAATATTATATTGTTTACTGAAGTGAACTGTCTTGACCACTCTTTAAGCACTACTTATCAATTTATAGCAAACGTCCTAAGGATTAATGACCCGCTGGTGGCATGGGTCATTCACCCCAGAAATATTCATCCCTAAAAATGTAACCTGATCTGAGTTCACTGCTGATGTTACAAACAGTAAAGATGAATATATACTTGGGTTTACTGAAATTATTACAGAATGAGTTGCAGTGAATTGGATTATGCTTTACTATATCTGCTTAAATTATTACTCATATTCTATTAGTACTGTATTTAAATGCTACATTTTGGATTTATGTAACATTTTATATCACAGCCAGTATGATTGTTGTTGTTTTCTGTCACCAAGTGACGTGAACTCTATTGGCTTTGGCATTAAATGTGCTTCATATATCATTATAAACAAACACTGTGTAAAGATAGCAGACCTACACTCCACAGCAATGGACACTGTCTGCACTAAAAGAATGATTTATCGATTGAGCTCCTAAAAATACTTTGCAGATTGCAGTCATTTTGTGAACAGCTACAATGCCTTGCAAATGCATTCACCTCAATCCCATTTGCGGTATGCTACCTTTATGGTTTCTGCTTCTTTTGTGGGTGGTGGCAGTAGCCATTGCAATTTCTTTTTAAAGCCCATGAGGACAGTCTTGGAAGAATCCCAGGTGTCTTGCTGTACATGTATTAAAGGTATCTCAAAATTAAACAATTAATGCAGTGTACATTGCATACGTTTCATGATTGCTCACCTCGTCGGGTTATAGAGGCGTACAGGGACATTAAAACTGCAAGCAAACCTATTATGTTATAGTCTCAGCACTTCTATATTTAAGCTGTCTAACTATTAAGGAAGGCAATGTGTTACATGGGAGTCCTTGAAATATTCAATATATGCTATTGAATGATATACAGGTACAACACGGTAATGTTTTCCTACAGTACAGGTCTGCTTCTGTGTGCTCTGTTTCCAAATGAAAATTCCCCTATTTTGTATAGAAAACTACTCTCACAGTTCATTAGTTGTCAAGATCAAATCTCAGTCTAATATATCCAATTCATTAAAACTGCTCCCTAATATTAAAAAAATGGCTTAAGGATTTCTTATGACTGCATAAATGTAATATGAATTCGGCACTGCACAATCAATATTTGTCTGTTCTGTTTGTGTAGTGTCTAAATTAAGCAATTTATAAATGTCTGGGATTATGTACTTAGACTGTCTTCAGGCTTATTTTAATATTTATGCTCATAAAGAAATGCCATGTGCTGTGTTGTGTTCTATTTTTATTTCCATCAAGTGTTAAAAAGAAATAATGCTTTCTAATAGGCAACATTATAAAGTTGTATTGTGAACTGGAGTGTGTGAGACCTGGCCAATTCCCTGTTGCTGTGTTTACTGTTGAACCAGTGTGGTCTCATCTTTAGAGGCACTATTTATGGTACGCTTTTGCTAATTTGATTAATTGCTACTGATGTCCCTGTAATTTCATTTTTACAGTACTTGTGAGGAACCATAAACAAAAGGTTAAGTGGCATATTAGATTAATTTACCAGCCTTTGATGGTTCCATCTGCGTTCCTGCCTGCAACACAAAACTGAAAGGACCTGAAAGACTCTCATCTGGTTATGGTACACTGGTATTCCCCAGTACCAACATTCAACAATTTCTGCTTCATTATTCCACCTTGGGGGGGGGGGGGGCAAAATTCCTACAGTCTGAAGTACTATATCTGGATGTGAAATCCCATGTTTCAGTTTTGTGGACTCTTGTTCAGTATACAAAGTACATGCTTACTGTACTTTGTAAATTAATGTTCAGAGAGCAAAGATTCAGTGTGGCCTGATTCTGGGGACTGTCTCTTAACATGACAACAGTAACCAACAAGCACTCTGAGCAGAATGTCATTTATTGCTCAGAACAGGGCCCAGTATGCTATTAGCATGACATAAATGCTTATTAATGAACATAAAATCTGTAATTCTTCCTAGATAAATTATTTGTAAAAACTACAGATTTGATTTGTAGCAGTTGTAGCAGCCATTCAAGTAAATTAAATGTTGATCGTCATGTTTGTGGAATTACATTTTATGATTGACTATGAACATACCTATAATGTTGTTTATACTTCATTCATAAACATTTTACAGGACTTTTATAGCAGCCAAGCCATTGCGAGTGCAAACTCCCAACTAATTTTTCTTGCATTTATCCATCTTGCTTACTCAGATAATGATGAGCGCAAACAATTATATGCACGTGCTACTGCTAAGTATGTAAGATGAAGATACAGATTTACAAGGGCCAGATCTCTGGGGACTGCTTGAGAGAGCCATGGTAAGCAAGCAATTGCAGCACCACTTAAGACTAATTAAAATGGATGGTTCCTGTGTCTTTTACACTACAGGCTCTCATGATCTCTAATGTTCGGCCTAGGAAAGATTGGGATAGGGGTGGAAGGTGCTGATGGCTCACAGAGCAAATCTGCCTGGTTTTGCTTTTGTCTGTTAGCCAACTATCCGAAAACAAAGGCAAACAATACTTTCTTTCAGTAGTATGCTAGTATCTCCTGAGTAATACCAGGGTGTGTGGTTCCTTCTCCCACCAACGCCCCCAGACAAAGCTTCACATATTTACTCCAGTCTAGATCCATTGATTTCAATTGGCTTAGACTGGAGTAATTCTGCATAGGAGGGGGGGGGGGGGGCAAAATTCCTACAGTCTGAAGTACTATATCTGGATGTGAAATCCCATGTTTCAGTTTTGTGGACTCTTGTTCAGTATACAAAGTACATGCTTACTGTACTTTGTAAATTAATGTTCAGAGAGCAAAGATTCAGTGTGGCCTGATTCTGGGGACTGTCTCTTAACATGACAACAGTAACCAACAAGCACTCTGAGCAGAATGTCATTTATTGCTCAGAACAGGGCCCAGTATGCTATTAGCATGACATAAATGCTTATTAATGAACATAAAATCTGTAATTCTTCCTAGATAAATTATTTGTAAAAACTACAGATTTGATTTGTAGCAGTTGTAGCAGCCATTCAAGTAAATTAAATGTTGATCGTCATGTTTGTGGAATTACATTTTATGATTGACTATGAACATACCTATAATGTTGTTTATACTTCATTCATAAACATTTTACAGGACTTTTATAGCAGCCAAGCCATTGCGAGTGCAAACTCCCAACTAATTTTTCTTGCATTTATCCATCTTGCTTACTCAGATAATGATGAGCGCAAACAATTATATGCACGTGCTACTGCTAAGTATGTAAGATGAAGATACAGATTTACAAGGGCCAGATCTCTGGGGACTGCTTGAGAGAGCCATGGTAAGCAAGCAATTGCAGCACCACTTAAGACTAATTAAAATGGATGGTTCCTGTGTCTTTTACACTACAGGCTCTCATGATCTCTAATGTTCGGCCTAGGAAAGATTGGGATAGGGGTGGAAGGTGCTGATGGCTCACAGAGCAAATCTGCCTGGTTTTGCTTTTGTCTGTTAGCCAACTATCCGAAAACAAAGGCAAACAATACTTTCTTTCAGTAGTATGCTAGTATCTCCTGAGTAATACCAGGGTGTGTGGTTCCTTCTCCCACCAACGCCCCCAGACAAAGCTTCACATATTTACTCCAGTCTAGATCCATTGATTTCAATTGGCTTAGACTGGAGTAATTCTGCATAGGATTGCAATGAAGATTTTGCATCAGATTTAGATTTGTGACCCCTATGTGCAGCTACTTTGGAGTTATCCCCATTGAGTACTGTGGCACTTCCTCTTGGACCCTGTATTGATTACTTGTGCTGGTATAACTATGTAGTGGGTTGCACTCATGTTACTGGCAACTGTTCACTTCATTTCCCTTTCTGAGAAGCCCTTTGTCCACAGAAGTCCTTCTTTTACAGGTTATTCGAACGTCCCACTCCAAGGCAAAGAGTTCATTTCCTTTTTGTAAAGGGCCAAAGAGAACACTTTGCCTTCCATCTCGACACAGGGAGGGGGGTGGAGAAATGGTTTTGGGGGAATCCTCGACATTGTCCTATATAAGAATACTGTGCAGGCATTCAATCCCAAACAGAAGTTCCGTCATGGTTTAAGCGGAGCACACCTCCTCGCAAAGGACAGAGGCGTGAAACACGAGAACAAGCAGCCCCTTCTTTAACCTTATCCGACACTCTCCCCCCTCCCGCCCTGAGGGCCCCCTGTGAGCGGGAACTCGCCCCCGGGAACCCGCGCAGAGAGCCGCCACCACACGGAAGCTTCCCGGAAGAGGCCGCCACGCGCGGGAGTCGCCTCGTCCAGCCCACCTCAACCAGGGACTACTGACACGTTGTTTGGCCCTCGCAACAGCAGCGCCTGTTAAGGACCGGGGGGGGGGGAAAGTTGCCCGCCC